ACTATAAAAGATTTAAAAGTTAAAGTCTGTTCTACATCACTGGTGTATTCACACTATGAGCTCCGACCAATATTTTTCATCATTTTAGAGACACTTGAAGATGACCAATGTTAGTCGAAATATGTAGCGTGCATACAATAGTGATGTAGAACAGATTTTAACGTTTAAGACTTTTAAGGTTTTAAAAAGGAAGTTGAGTGAGATAGCTAAGGGGAATAAATTACGTCTGATATACACGTACATATATTGGTAGGAAACACGAGAATACTTACACAGGACTTTCATTCCTTAAGACTGCCTGTACTGGGCGTGACGTGTCATTGTTCATATTGCAGATGGGCTTCATGCATGTCTACATACTGTCCATCGGTCGCCCATGGTGCACGGGTTGAGAGAGTGGGGGAAGGCTAAAACAATACTACGCTGCTTCAGGTAGTATTAGTGGGGGAACGCCATGAAATTTCCATCGGACAGTATCTCTCTACTGGATTTCAAGTTCTCACTTCTGTGACTGTAAAGATTACGGTCTCCCAGGTTGTGACGGCGTGTATTTTGGATGAAAACAAAATATTTTGCAGGAATATGTCGCTTTCATATTCATGGCCGAAGAGTCAGCCAAGCAAAGAATAAGCAGATGTACGTGGCAAGTTGAGAGTAGTCGTTACAAGCCACGAGTTCGTGCTGTGGATGTGTCTGTCTGCGTTTCCGTCGCTTTGTACACATCACACGGCATAAAGTTTACCGATAATGAGGCTACGAGTCCACGGACAGTGCTTCGTCTCTCTGCAGTTGTCTCGGCATCTCGTTAGGGAGAAAGCACCTTCAGCATTGCTTCATTTCATTTTATCCGTATCTTGACCCACAGACACATAAATTATTAATGACCAGTTCCCACTGCCAATACTGAACCTTCAGACTGAACTCCGAGACGTTGTGAAACAACACTGACAGACTTCTGAACTTGCAGAATGCAATTTATCACAGAGTACGGAGTGGTCTTATACGCTGCTAAAACTTGTGTCAGTATTAAACGAAACGTTAATTCTGGAACGGAAGTTATATTTCCGTTAAGTGCAATCGTACTCCATTTAAAGTTGCAATATATAACGCCGATTCATTACAACTCTCTTTATTCTGAGATAAATTTTGTGGATTTATTTAAATATTTAATTTTATTAATTAAAGCATGGGTAACCCAGAACTTAATTACAATTAAAATTAGTTGGATAACTAACGATTACTTTTTTTTCTAAACCTAATATACTATGTAAATTAAAACTAAGTCACTTCCACTGAATTGCTTAGTACTTTAACATTTAACTAGTTCGGACGGTTTCTTCCGTTTGAGTCGTCTAATGACATTGTTCACGTTGAGAAGTCTGGACGCTTCAATGTTGACATGGTTTTGGAGTCTCTTTTCATGAGAGGTGGCGGACTTAGCGATGATATCTGTAACCGTCTCGATCTCAAGGTCACGATGGGGGTCACTGTTATGAACCTACCATGGTTCGTTGACAATACACTTTAGCACTTTGCTCTGATAGCGTTGAATCACTTGAATATTGGATTCGCTGGCACAGCCCCAGAGCTGGATACCATAACTCCAAACTGGACGTAGAGTTTGTTTGTATAATGTAAGTTTATTGTGGACTGATAGCCCAGAATTGCGTCCAAGCAACCAATACATTTTTGTGAACTTATTGTTGAGCTCATCACGTTTTTTCTTGATATGCTCTTTCCACCTTAACTTGGCGTCAAGATATTTCGCTGTGTTGGCGTATGGAACTTGAGTGCCATTGATGAAGATTGATTGTTGTGCAATCCTCTTTTTTGTAAAGTGAATGTGTGCTGATTCAGATTCGTTGAGTTTAATTCGCCATTTTTTGCCCAGAGGGCGACTTTGTTTACAGCTAATTGTAGATTTCTAGTTGAGCTTTCAACAATCTCTCCTACTGCCATGACTGCTGTATCATCTGCAAAAGTGGCTATAGTACAGTTCGATGTAGTTGGCACATCATTAATATAAAGTAGATATAGGACTGGCCCCAGTACACTTCCCTGTGGGACACCGGCCTTGATTGTCTTCAGTTCTGAGTATGAGTCTTCGTGTGTGACGCGGAAATACCGATTGGTTAAATAAGATTTTAGGAGTTGATAGAAATGATCGGGTAGAATTGATCTCAATTTGTGAAGTAGGCCTTTATGCCATACTCTATCAAAAGCCTGTGAAATGTCAAAAAGACAGCAGAGCACACTCCTTTGTTTTCAAGCGTTTTTCAATGACGTCAGTGATACGATGCACCTGGTCAATTGTTGAATGATTTTTTCTAAAGCTGAACTGATGCGTTGGTACTAGGTGTTTCTCTTGAATGATGGGTTTAAGACGTTTAAGCGTCAGTTTCTCAAACAGTTTAGACATAACCGGCAGTAATGAAATTGGTCGATATGATTCCACTTCACTTAGATTCTTATCAAGTTTCGGGATCATGAGTACTTCAGCAGTTTTCCATGCATTTGGGACATGATTTAGTCGAATGCACTGATTAACGTGGTAAATTTGACCAAGGCTTTTCTTTTAATATTCTTGAGAATTTCACCTGTTATAAGATCAAATCCAGGTGCTTTTTCGGGATGAGATTAGTTCTTATTTCTTCGGCAACTTCTTTAGGAGTAACCAATGGAATCTTATCCAGATAATCATTCGAGTTGAGAACTGGTAATGTATCCGGTCCAGGTTTTGGGTGGAACCATTTTTCAAGCTGTTGTGGAAATATATTTGCTTTCTCAAAATTATTACGAGCCCATATTCCATCCGTTTTTATGGGTGGTACTTGAGCTATTGGTCTTTTTAAATATTTTGTAGATTTCCAGAGTAAGTACTCAGTGCTACGATCTGGAGTGAATTCTGCGAAGAACTTGTTAATTGATGATTGTCTGATATTTTTATTTCCTTGGATAATTGTTGGCTGGCTCTATTGAGAAGGGTTTTATCATGTGGATTTCTTGACTGTTGCCATTTTCTTCTGAGTCTGCGTTATTCGGCTGTTCGGTTTTTGATTTTTTCGGGAAGTTAAGACCTTTTAGTTTTATTTAGATAATAGGTGTAGTGTTCCATGCAGCTTCTTGAATGGCAGTCGTAAAAGAAAACAATTCTTCTTCTAGTTGATCGGCAGTTTTAAGCGGTACTGATAGATTAGTATTACTCTCTAATAGGTAGTTAAATAGTCCCAGTCTGTGTGTTTGTTAGTTAGCACTGGGTTTTGATCTTTCATTATTATTTTATCGCTATTTGTCAGCCATATTGGTGAGTGATCTGAATTCAGGTTAAATCCTTCCTCGATTCTAATATAGTGTGATGAGATATTTTTGGCAACAAAGAAATCAATTAAATCTGGAGTTCTTTTGGATATGTGAGCCAATGCGTTGGTTTGCCAGTAGAGACAATCTCACATCCAAAGTTTGCAGCAGCCTTATAACTCACGGCCTTTGGTAGTTATGAGCCTTGAGCCCCAGTGGGTGTGTTTGGCACTGAAGTCACCTCCAATAGTGAAGCGACTAGTGTTTGGCACTCCTTGGCGTAGATGTTACATCTTGGTGGGCAGTAGATTGCACTTATTGTGAGTTTCTGTTTTAATGTTTCGATTGTTATAATTGTGGCTTGGATGTCACGGGTTGCATATTTCTCTTCTTCGTAATGTTTGATATTGTTTCTGATTATAATAGCGCTACCTCCACGGGCCGTATTGGCAGGATGAATAGTATGATATGTTATGTAGTTTTTGAACCTAATAAAAGATTCCTTAGTAAAATGGGTTTCTGATATAAGACATATGTCAATATGTTGGTGCTGCAGCAATCCGTTCGCATTCCATTCCATTATACGTAAGGAGTTAGCTATTAGTGAGTGGTGGTCATTGTAAGGCTGCTCTCGACTTTATTGAGGCGCAGGTTTTGCTCTTTTAGCATTTGCACTATTTGTGCTAACCTGTTGTCGGTATCTGTGGCGTGTTTAGCTACAGCAATGCTGTTAGGTGCCACCTGACTATAGGTTTTCCCAAAGTTGTTTTTAGGTTCATTGCTGGGGGCTATTCTTTCTATTTGCTTATTTGTTTTAGTTTGTTGTTTTGGTTTATTCTTGTTATCTCTAAGTTTTTGGAGTTCTTTAATCGCCTCACAAACTCGATAATTTGCTGGATGGTTCTTTCCGCAGTAACAGCATTTTGGTTGTGCCAGTTGTAGTTTATCACACTGTGATGTTAAGTGTGTTCCAGCGCATTTGACACATGTTGGTGCTTTATGACAATAAATTCGTGTATGACCAAGTGACTGGCATGTTTTACAGTGTGGTATTAACTTAGTGCCTCTAATTGGCTCAACAGTAATAGCTGCACTACAGATTGTTTAATTTCGAATATTTTATTTATGTGTGTGTTCCGATGAAATGAAATGATAAACATATCTAAGGGTTCTTTAGTTTTCCACTTTAACTTTGGTGTGGTATTCTGTGTTTGAAACCTTGTTCATTAAAGCTACGCAGTATATTTACTGGTTGGTAAGAATGATGTAGCCGGTCACGGTAGACGAGCGGTCTAAGGCATGTACTGTCTTTGCTCGCTTGGAAACCATGATCGTGGGTTCGAATCCCACTCAGGGCATGGATGTTCAGTTTGTGTGTGTGCGTTTTTCTGTGTTTGTATACAGGTAGAGGCAATGCGACGAGCTGATCACCCGCCCAAGGAGTCCTACCGAATGTGTAAGGTCTAGAAAAACCGAAGTGAACGGAGAAGTTCATGGAGGTAGGCCTAGGCCCACTGGGGCTGTAGTGCCAAGGAAAAAAAAGAATGGTGTAAATTCTTAATCATAACTTAAATATCTCTGGTCTGCTTGTTTTCATGAGAGAACCAAGGTACATTGTTGTTTTTCAGAGTTTTTGTTAACATTCTGTATGCGTAATCACTTGATACATTTACTTTGTTTATACCATTGTTCATTAGCTTTGTTTGACATTGTTCTTCACCAAAGGCTTGTTTTATAATTGAGGTCAAGTCCTCGTGATTTTCAACACCCGTTATCATAATGGGTGGGGGTTTGTCTGACTATTTGGTTTGTGACTGTGAAGCAGTAGTGTTTGCTTTGTCTTTGTGTTCTGTAGCTTGGTTCTATGATTTTTCATCGGCCAACTTCCTTCTTTTCCTGCTATTTTGAACTCCTATCCATTTGGTATCGTCAGCAAGGTCATCATTATTCATTTCTGCTTCTTGTGGGATTGTTTCACTTGGATTTTGGTTTAATTTTAAAGTTTCCAGTTCTAGTTTCATTAACTGAAGCAATTCATTGAGGGCATGAATCGCTGATTGCATCTGCTCTTTATCCATCTGGGATTGTTGCCAAGCTAAGTATAGCTGCTGTTCATTTTGGGTTCTTGCAGTGTTTTCTGCTAAGAGGTCGCTGTTGATTTGAAGCAAATGCGCTTCATTAGTTGTAGTAGGGTGAATCCGCGACATCTCACTGTTACATCCGTTCGCACTGCACGACATAGCACAAGGTACGCACACACGCAATGTCCAACCTTCCTTCCTCGAAAGGCGCAGGTGTTGCCCGAACAGGTGCGGAAGTGGCTGAAAATATTTCATGAATAAGAATAAGGATTGAAAGGCTAATGGAATTAAATTCATTTTTTAAAACACTACTGTGTGAAGAGGCCTGTATTCTGGTGCTCGGCATGCTTTCCCAGATGCAAAAATTCCAAGTCCTGCCCTTAATGTGGGAGACCAGGCTTCAAATCCACACACATACGAGTGTTGATATTTTGGATTTTTCAATTTTCCTAATCTGTATTGGCCCAAAGGTCGACTCAGCCTCTAACAGAAATGAGTATCAGGAATCTTCCTGGGGGTAAATAGCGGCCGGCGCGTAAGTCATGTAAAGCTAAACTGTGGTAAAAACCCTATCACGCATGAACCATTGTTTTCATGGCTAATGGAGCATCAACGAATCGCTTTCGAAGAAATGTCGATAAGTGTTTCCTGCTTAGCCTTTGAGGCAAAGCGTATGGAGTGTACCGAAACGTTGCCAATAATTCTAGCTCACACATCAACACTGAACGGTTTCTCATGTCAAGATTGAATGATTCATGAAGCTCTTAATCTGCCCACAAGTGACTCTAACGAAAATTCATTATGCTCTGGTTTTATAATCCCATTTGTGAATGGTACTGAAGAAAGAATGAAACACAAAAGCCATTGACAGAATGTCTCTTGTACTGGAAAATCAGCCGGATTTAGACCCTTAAAAAGGGTTCTGTAACTCAATGTAACTCATAAAGTACGCTTCACCGGACAGGATTTTTTTTATTGCTAGTGGGGTGGGACTAAGACCCTTGTACTGCGGCCACTTCTGGCCTATTGAACCAGCCCCACATGATAGGTGAGGGTGATTGTGGAGCAATTGGTGGAATGAAGATTGGCAAGGGAAACCGAAGTAGTCGGAGAAATCCTGCCCCAGAGTCACTTTGTGCACCACAAATCCCACTTGACCAGATCCGGGATCGAACCCGGGCCACCACGGTGGGAAGCCAGCGACTAACCCCTTGAACTATGGCGCGGCCTCGGACAGAAAGTGATATGAACTTTTATAATTTTCGGCGTGCAGCATTCACCTTCACAATTCTGACATACGTTTCTGTTTGGATTCCGAATATTAATATTTCTTAGCCTCAATCTTCACTGGAGGTGGTGATGTAGCGGTAGCGATCACGCCACAATCGCTCCCTTAAAATACTTCCCATTTCGCCATTTATTAACCATCCTAATATTCGGCACAATATATCCGTACACCTAGAACGTAATACAATACACTACAAGCCAAACCATCTGATTTTAACGACTTCTTCTGAATACATGATTATGAAACTTGTATCTCAAAGGCAGGCTACTTTTCTTTCTATACTAGCCGTCTGATCAAATCGATTTTATACCGAGCATGCGGTAGCGTAGTTGGTTGTGGCACTATGCTACAAACCGGAAGGCAACAATTTCGATTCCCGATGAGGTCGTCGGATATTTTCAGTTGACCTAATCCTCCCAGCGGCACTATATCCCTGGGGTCGACTCGGCTTCTAACAGAAATGTGTACCAGGAATCTTCCTGGGGGTTAAAGTGCGGCCGCCGCGTAAGGCTGATAGTTTCACCATCATCTTTGAGCCGATTGACTAGAAAATGTGGGACCCTCAACGTCTCACAACCCTATGGACCTTCACGGCCTGTTACAGAGATAGCTTTACATTTTTACTGTGTAGGATTTGAGGTTCTCACAGCGGTGAGTATGCGATATACGGCTGGGTATTCCGTTGAAAATAAGCCGACGTTTCGAAGAAGAATGCCACCAATCTTCAATCAAACGAAGCAAAATACCGACATGAAGCAGGTAGAAAGCAGAGCTCCGAAAGTGGGTCAGTTTTCAACGGACTAGATTGTATGCTCTCCAAGAAGACAGAACTCTTGATTTTGTCTTTGAGACCAGGGTTTTATTATTTGTCGTATAATAAGAATATATTTAATGTAGTGTCAAATACGCACAATGACTTACACAGCAACATATGGAACCAGTTTCCTTAGTCACCTTACGGAAATTAACAGCTGCGACTTGAGGCTCGTTACTCATCATCTTTCGGGTCTGCCTCGGGAGTTCCTTATACCGGAATCTCCGCAAAATGGGGTTTGGAGCATAAATAGTTCGCTGAAAGTTTAAAAATATAACAGACAAATGCAGGCCGTGATATTTCTGCCTATAGCGATTAGAACGAAGGGTGGCCGACCGAAGAATCGAAGTCCGAATTTCGGCAGAGTTAAGGGATCTTCTTCTTTCCGTATGTCCCGACAGGTTTGGTGCCCACCCAGCACTCTATATAGTGGGTACTGGGTGCTGACTCCCTTTGAGTAAACAGCAAGTTCGCGATGATAACCATTCACATTCATCTAATGCGAAATTGAGAATGGTGGAGCCATACCTCCAATTCCACTAACATCCTCATGGCGTGGTGCTTAAATAATTAAGCACAGGCATAACTTTTTACTTTTTTCCCTTTCTTACACAAAGAAATAACTTATTCATGACTTTTAAAACAAAATCTCATTTAACGATGCTGAATTTATTCAACAGACCTTCATAAAACGAGTTGGATCGAGCAGTAATACTTCCGTTTTGTATCTCAAAGGAGCCGGATTCGAATGTCTGCCCGAGAAACTTGACTATTCTGACCATGGGCTTTTGTAGTTTTTCTCATTCCTTCCAAGTAAATGCCCGGAAATCATCTCAAATAACGACACGATGCCTTACATCTACGTCATTTCTCAGTTTACAATTAAACATCATTCAATCATTCAGCGCTATATAGTCTGACGTACTGACAGCGTCATTGAGCAAACAACCAATAAAGAGACCTTCATTTTTATCATAGGAAATTTTACCAATATGCTACAGTTACATAGAAGATATTAGCATTCATGGGGCGTGTTCATCTGATTTACATATAGCAACTTTTTTTCTGTGCATTTTACACTACCTGATAAAACTTCCGGTGTGTGTATTCGTATTGCTCATACAAACTGATCTATATTTAAACCGCAAATCATACACACACTTCCGCTACATCACATCAGTAATTCGTAACGCGCTCTACAAGGAAGATTACACTGAAAATGTGGACTTTTTCGATTTGAATTTTGAGATGACCCGATAATTACTTCATAAACTTACAATAATGCATTGCCATATTGTCGCGTGTTTATGGTACGCGTGATAAGAGTGACTGGTTCTAGTTCGGATGATTGGATTTATTAGTTCTTGGGTACAACCTCTCTTAGTCACAATTAATTACAGCGTTATTGCTGATTTACACACACTTCATAATTCACTGTGACACATGGATCTGAAAACAGGAAGTAGTGCCTCAAATCACTCAAAGTATTACACATAATTAAAATCATCCAATCACACATAAAGTCTTCACACGACGAACTTTGTGTGGCTATATTCAATCGAGTACTCTCTCACTGTCACTTAAACACTTAAACACTCTGAAATACTCTGAAAAACTCCTTGGTTCAATTCAAAGTCACATTGCAACTGACGGTCAGTCTAGCAGTAAGTCTTGGTACCGAGCCCCATCTGGGGCTCATGACCGGATATTCATTACTGTTTGACAATTATTGTCTTCTTTTTTATGGGGCGCCCTCTCTGATGAGAGCACAGATCTGTCTTTTGTATATGCTGCTGACACTTGCCAGCGCAGTCTTTCTCGGGTCCGAGTCCTTTGTGACTCGCGACCATATTTTAATGTCTCAGATTTGACACTTCTCTTTTCGTCACCTCTTACGACTCGTAGGGTCATGGTAGATGTATTCGACCCCGTCTCCACACGGCACACTCCTTAGTTAAAAAAGTCAAAGTCATATTGCGACTGACGATCTGTCAGTCAGTAAGTCTTGGTATCGAGCACCCTCCTGGTGCTTATGACCAGATTTTTATTACTCCTCGACAGTTACGGTCTTGTTTCTGTGGGGCGCCCTCTTTGACGAGAGGATGGGTCTGTCTTTTGTATATGCTGCTGGCTCTTGTCAGCGCAGTGTTTCTAGGGTCCTAGTCCCTTGGGAGGACTTGCAACCATATTTTACTGTCACTCATTTGAGACTTCCCTTTTCGTCGCCTCCTTCGACTCGCAGGGTCACGGTGGAGGTGACCTCCACTTACTCACTCCTTAGTTCAAGTCAAAGTCAAAGTCACATTGCGACTGACAGTCAGTCAGTCAGTAAGTCTTGGTGGTATGACAGTTACGGTCTTGTTTCTGTGGGGCGCCTTCTCTGACGAGAGGACGAGTCTGTCTTGTATATGCTGCTGGCCCTTGCCAGCGCAGTCTTACTCGGGTCTAGTCAGAGTCAGAGTCAGAGTCAGAGTCAGAGTTACATTGCGACTGAGGGTCAGTCAGTCGCAATGTAACTCTGACTCTATTCCTGGAATCTCGTTAGATAGCATTCGCACCGACCACGCACAGAAAACAGCCTCTATTGTTGTGAAGGAGTGTTCACCGCGACGTTACATAGCAGCGGTCTCGCCGTCGACTGCATAGAAAACGCCGTACTTCTATTGTTGCCTTGCGTGTATTCGGTCACGAAGTGTTTAACGGTCAGTTGCCTAGCAACGTTCGGGCTATCCACGTTATAATATTTGGATGCTCGCTTGTAAATTGCTTGTAAAGACTTACTGACTGACTGATCGTCAGTCGCAATGTGACTTTGTCTTTGAATTTGAGGACAAGGAGTTCAGATCCGATGGCAGATAAGAGAAGACCAAGGCGAGGAGCAGAAGTCGGAGAAGAGCCAAGAGAAAAGACACACCACCGAGAATAGCGGTGCAAGAATATAACCGTTGAAGACGAAACGCAGAGAGAGGACGGACTAATCAGGTCGCTTCTTCTGGAAGGCGCTATTTGAGAGTGATTGTAATTGTGAGTGCAAACGAGTAATTGCCCAATAAACAACTTCGTTTAATCCGGAACCCATAATTTCTTTTGGCGTCACCTGGATACGTTGCAATAATTTATTCTGAGATATGACGTCAT